CTTGTTAGCAGGACTCCAGCCTTGACCTCCACTCTCCTGCTCTCTGGCCACCCCTGGTGCCCTCTGCAGGGCAGGCTGGGCTGCTGTGCTTCATATAGCCAGACTGTCCATTTCCTGCCTGGCTCACACCCTGGCCCCTTGGGTGGTGAGGTAAACGTTCCTGCTCCCCTCACCCCAGGAGGGACTATTTTCTCAGCTTGCTGGGGAAGGGCCTGGCAGGGCACACAGCTATGGTGGCCCCTGTGTGACATGGGGTGGCAGTGGGGTTGGGCACTGAGAAGGGAGATGCCTGTACTTGGTATCCAAACGTTATTGGACTAGGCAGGGCATGAACTGCAGGAGCAGAGCAGGGCTCAGGGCCCACACCCACCCTGCCAGAGTGTGCAGACAGGTGGGAGCACCCAGCTCGTGTGCTTCAGGGTATAGTCCCCCAGCCGGCCTGGCTGCAGGACCCGGAGCAGTCAGGGCCTGTCCAGAACCAGCTTCTGCTCTATGTCTGGGCACGCTCTGCTCTGCTGGACAGGTAGCACCAGCACGGGTGGGGACCCTCTAGCCACTGGTCTGTTGGAAAACCAAAGACCAATCTGCTTAGAGAACAGGCCCCTCCTCACTTTAGAAGAGTTTCCTGCCAGTTCCTGCTGAAGCCAGTTTCCACTTCTTCTTTTTAGGAGGAAAGTCTCTGCTGGGCATACAGTGCCAGCTAGACCACATGTCCAATGTCCCTTTGCAGCTAGCATGGCTGCCAACCATGTGACTAGGTTCAAGACGTGATGTTGCAGCTTCCACTTCAAGTTCTTAAAAGGGAAGCTTCCTGCCTCGGTTCCTCTGCTCTGGAGATGAAACCAGGACTCAGGACCATGTACTCAGGGAGAGGCAAACCACAAGGAAGGACCAGGGCTACTGAGTGACCTCACTGGGCACAGTCCCACAAACTCGGGCTGCTCATCTTTAGAGGGTTAGGAAAGGGAGGTGCCAGCTTCTGTGTTCAGGGGCCACTGCATTGGAGTGTCTTTGTTGCAGCAGGTAGGTGCTGACTAACACACCATCTCTGTGTGCCAGTTTGAAGGGCATTTCTAACCACAGGCATTTGGAAGACAGACTAGCCTCACAGTCAAGCAGTCTGCATTTCTTCCTGCAGCACCTTGGATGCACCTGTGGGCACCCAGGGCTCTGTTTTCTTGTAACCCCTCAGATCACCACCAGCATACCAAGGACGGCCCAGTCAAGTGCAAAGGCAGCCCAGCTGTCCATACTGGAGAGCTGCTGCCCTGAAGGAACAAGCCTGGGCCTCTGCCAGCCCTCTCAAGGCTCCTTCCTCTGGTGTTTGGGGAAAGGGTTTGGACTCACATCTTCTTGCATAGCTGTCTGACTCCAGAGCTGGTGCCCTGCTCTCATCCCCTCCATGGAGATGAGGCCAGGACTCAGGACCACCCTCTGCCTCCAGGGGACACAGCTCCCATCACAGGCTCTGGCACAGGGCTGGAACCTTTCAGGTCACAAGAGGACTTCACACATATCAACAATATCAAATGTCCCTCCTCCTACAGCTACGAACCATTCTCTCATCTGGGAGGGGCTCCCTTGTTGGTCCCTCCTGCTGCCTCTGTGGTCCCCACTAAGTCCCCCACTATGCACACAGCTGTCTACTCCCAAACTTGAATCTGGTCTCTGTATTTAACAATATACAATTTGAGTTTTCTCTTTAGTGGACTCACAGGCCTCAGGTTGGACTTTGGGTGGGATTCAAAACCTCACAATCTGGTGTCCCTGCCCCGCTTCTCCAGCAGCCTTGTATGTGGTGAGAGGAGGGAAGAATGATTTCTTGCTGTCCCCAAAGCAAACTCCATTACCCAGGCAAAATCCTGGGTCACAACCATAACGTGGGGAAAAAAAGGGTAAGGTAAGAAACATTGAACAGAACAGAGGGTTTGTTCTGTTTGTTTTATGAAGGACACACTCTAAACAGGAGTCATAAGCATCCTGAACCTCTTTTTTTTTTTTTTTTTTGAGACGGAGTTTCGCTCTTGTTACCCAGGCTGGAGTGCAATGGCACCATCTCAGCTCACCGCAACCTCTGCCTCCTGGGTTCAGGCAATTCTCCTGCCTCAGCCTCCTGAGTAGCTGGGACTACATGCACGTGCCACCATGCCCAGCTAATTTTTTGTATTTTTAGTAGAGACGGGGTTTCACCATGTTGACCAGGATGGTCTTGATCTCTTGACCTCGTTATCCACCCTCCTCGGCCTCCCAAAGTGCTGGGATTACAGGCTTGAGCCACCGTGCCCGGCCCATCCTGAACCTCTGCACCTGTGCTGGGAATGACACTTCAGAAAATCTGAGGGGAGAGGTGGTTTCAGCCCTCGCCCACCCAGTTCATCACCGCAGCCCACGCATACCTCATCAAAGAGAATGCAGGCCTGCTCAGCCACCCCCTCCCTCTGATATTCAAAATCTCAAGGGCTGCAATCCCAAAACAAGGTCAGCCAGTCTTCCTGCCAAGCCGGGAGCCGTCGCATCTGCCTCTGCTGTTCCCTTTTGCCAGCACACGATGGCACCAGGGAGCGCAGAGCCCATCCTGTGGCTAGGAGGGGCTGGGATTCCTGCACTGAGATTCTTCCAGAGAGAGAAGAGGATGCTGTTCCACAGATGCTAGCAGGCCGCTTTTCGCTCAGGCTCCCAGGACACAGCCCTTCACCCAGTGTCACTTTACCCCTTCTCTAGCCTGTAACCTGTTTAGGAGTCAGGCACAATTTCTTTCTGCTTGTACACCTTCGGGGGCCCGTGCTCACATAAATGAGTGAAGCAGCCCAGGCATCCGGAGAGCACATGGGCTGTGTCAAGGGGCAGTCTCCACTCACCTGGCCCCCTGTGGCCACCTGGGTTGTGCAAGCCATGGCAGCTGAGTTCCCTGAATAATGGAGAAATGTGAAGTCTCTTTCAAACATGGGCAGCTAGTTCTTTTTCCTATCCACTTTATTGAGGTAGCCACCATGATCGATAGAACAATTTCTATAACCCCAAAAACATTCCCTAGTGCCTATTTGAAGTCAGTTCACTCCCTTTCAGTACTGACCCCTGGCAATGACTGGTCTGTTTTTGTCACTATAGTTTTGCAAGTAGAATCACTTAGTATTTAGTCTGTAGTGGCTCATTTTGTTCAGTTAGCAGGATGTATTTGAGACCAATCTATATTGTTGTGGACACCAGTAGTTTGTTTCTTTCTGTTGCTGAGTTAATAAAATACAGACTGTCCCTGATTCGACCAATTCAAGCTGATTCTGGATCATTTTGAAGTGTCTTCATCACTGTTTGATCACTGACCTGCTTTCTGGCAAACAAGATGTTCTAGGCTCATCTTTGGGGGGGGGACAGGGGCAGGAGTCTTGTTCACTGAGGTGAATTCACATGAATTAACCATTTTAAAGTGTACAATTCAATGGCATTTAGTACAATCACAGTACTGTGCAATCGCCACCTCTTGTCAAAATATTTCCATCATCTCAAAGGGAGACCCCATACCCATTAAACTCCCAATTCCCCACCTCCCCAGCTCCTGACAAATTCTATGCCACTTTGTCTCTGTGAAGTTGTCTATTCTAGATATTTCCCGTATTAGAATCATATATGACCTTTGTGTCTGGCTTATTTCACTTAGCTTAATGTTTTTGAAGTTTATCCTGTTGTAGCATGAAACAGTACTTCATTTTTATGCTAAATAATATTCCCTTGCATGGCTCTACCACATTTTGTTTATACATTCATCTGTTGATGGACACTTGCGCTGTTTCTGCCTTTTAGCTATTATAAATAATTCCGCAACGAGTACTAGTGTACAAGAATCTGCGTCCGTTTCAATCATTTGTTAAATATACGCAGGAGTGGAATTGCTGGGTCATATGGTAATCCTATGTTTAATTTTCTGAAGAACTGACCGGCTGTTTTCCACAGCCACTGCACCATTTTACATTCCCATCAGCAATATGAGAGGGTTCTGATTTCTCCATATCCTCATCAACACTTGGATTTTCCTTTTTTTCGGATAATAGCCATCCTCATGTGTGGGGAGTGAATCAGTAACAAAGAAAAGCGCTGGACCACATGATGTCATTCGTGAATTCCAACAAACACTTATTAAAGAACTTATATAAATGCTTTTCAAAGCTTTTCTAAAAATTGTAGAGGTGGGACCATTTCCTGACTCACTCTGTGAGGCCAGCATTACCCTAATGCCAAAGCCAGACAAAGACACTATAAGAAAACCAGAGGCCATATCCCTTATGAATATGCATGCAAAAACACTCAATGACATATAGTAAATGAAATTCATCAGCATATTAAAACTGTTGTTAATTAAAAATGAATTTCATTAAAAATGAAATTCATCAGCATATTAAAATGTCACCAAGTAAGATTTATCCCTAGAATGTAAGGATTATTTTTTCATAATGAAACAAATCAATGTACTACACTACATTATTAGAATGAGGGGGGAAAAAGACATGATCATTTCAATTGGTGTGGAAAACATGCTTGACAAAATTGAATACATTTTTATGATCAAAACACTACTCCTTAACATGATAAAGGCAATATATCAAAAAAATCCCACAGCCAGCACCATACTTTATAGTGAAAAACTGGAAACTTTCTAAGATCAAGAACAAGACAAGGGTGCCCACCTTCCCCACTTCTATTTGGCATAGTACTGAAAGTTCTAGCCAGAGCAATTAGGCAAGAAAAGGAAATACAAAGCATTTGAAATGGAAAGGAAGAAGTAAAATTACCTCTGTTCACAGATGGCATGTAGAAAACCCTAAATAATCTACAAAAAACCCTGTTAGCACTAGTAAGTGAAAAGTCATAGGCCACAGCAGACTGTGGCATAGGAGAACGGCCACACCACTTCCCGTTCAGCTCCTTCACTGTCTTCTCAACCCCCTGCAACCTGGCGTTCACTCCTCCACAGAAACAGCTTTTCTGCAGCCTCAGTGAGTCTTTACCTATTTCAGACATCTCTTCTGTTTCCAGAACCTGAACGGGGAGAGGTCTCTGCCATGAAGAATGCAGATGTGGATGCTTCCATCTGGGTGCCTGGAGCTGAGAAGCTGGCCAGCCCTGGCCCATGTGCTCTTGACTTTGCAGCCATTCCCTGGCCCAGTGAAGCTTCAGGTTGGAGTCTGAGCCTCTTGGGTCAGCAGCTGTGATGTCACCAATTGTGACCTCAAGAGCTTCTGACCTCACAATGAGCCTATAGGCACTGCCTGTCTGGGGGCCCTGGGGCCTCTGTTCCTGTGGTAGCGTGGCAGCAGGGACCATGGCCAGCTTCAGTCTGCCTGGTGTCACATAAGCCAGCCCACAGGGTCCCGTAGCTTCTCCTTTCTGGGTAGAAGCTCCAGGCATAACCTGGGACTGGGTCTTCCCAGAGAGAGCTGTAGCCAGGGCCCTGCCAGCTTCGGGGGCCACAGCAGCTCTCGCACCAGCATCCTGCTGAGCAGGAGCAGTTCCAGGGTGCTCTGATAACATCTGATCATCATCACTACCAGGATTCAAGGCTGCTGCCTGGTGAGTGCTGGCCGCCTGACTGGAAAGGACAGTCCCAAGTCGGTTAGGGACTTGGGTAGCAGCAACAGGGTGGTGGAAAAGAGGCTGGGACAGGATCATGATGGCAGAGGGCAGCCCTGGACTCTGCAGCAGCCCTTCCCCTGGAGGGCAGACTCAGAAGTCAGCTTATAGGGGGTTATCCCCATGACCTAGGGGTCAGGTGGGAGGGTGTGAGGTGGGCCTGAGGGCTGCCCCTGCCTCTGTTGATCCCTCAGTTTCTGTGGTAATGCTGCTGCTCTGGTCCAGGACTGCCTGAGGCCATGTGGCCCAGCAGAAGCAGCACAGACCACCCATCCTGAACCCCACTTCTTCCCCCACTCACTGTGTGAATGCAGGCAAATCAGTTAACTTTCTGGAGCCCCAGTTGCCTCATCTGAGTTATGGGGGTGAGCATAGTATGTTCTCCATCAGGTAGAAAAAAAATGAAGTGAGGTTATGCATAGAATGTAGCAGACGCTTAGCAGAGGCCACAGGTACCTTTCTGCAGCCTCCTACTGTTACCCTGCTGCCAGCACTGGCCCAGGCTTCCCCCTGCCCTGACTCCTCAGGGTTGCGCCTAGACTGGAGGTGGCTTGCCCACGTGCACCTGGGAGGAAGGGGCTGAGCTGGGCCTGACCCAGGCTGTGGCTGCAGGTCTGTGGGCTTAGGCCCAGCGAAGGGATCCCAGAGTCCTCAGAACAGCCAGGGCTGCAGGGGCAGGGACCACCAAGACCCCCTTTAGCCAGCACTGGTGTAGACAGCTGCAGTCTGTACTAGGCTGGTGGGCAAGTCAGTGGAGAAGCCTGCCCTTCAGGGCCCAGGACAGGTTATGAACAGGATTGACAGTATTTCTGGGCCAGAGCAAAGGCCCTCTGGATGGCTGATCTTCCAGAATCAGAGACGGGTGAGGAGGCAGTGGGTAAGGAGTGTGTTCTGGCTGACAGACAGGCTGGTCTCCCATGCCATCGAGGCCATGGTCTCGGGGGCCTGTGTTCAGTGTCCAGTTTGCAGCCTCCCACCTAGGGCCTTGAGCCAGTCCACACTTGGCAGCAGATAGCCTCACAAGCCACCCTCAGACAGAAGGATGAGCAGCATGGCACGTTACAGGTTCACTGCCGAGCAGGCTTGCCTGAGCCCTCTGGCTTTTGGAGAACTCCAGAATTCCAGATTTGGGATAAGCTACCCATATTCCCTTGGGGCTCCTCTCCAGACATCGTCAATTTGGAGTCATGCCAGGTGAGATAATAAGCCACACCAGCTGCTTTGAATTGGGGAGGGAAGTGAGCTGCATTCGGGGCTGGCGGAGGCAGTCTCTGCCTTGGACCAAGGTAGCGAGGAGCTCCCAGGTCAGGTAGCAGTGGATGGGGACAGAGTGGCTGTGGGCAGAGTGATGAGGGGGAGAGGTCAGCCATGCCCTGATGGCTCCCTGCCTGTGTGTGTGTGAGGGCAGGTCTAAGTGTGAGTCTATAAGAGTGTCTGTGTGTGCAAGTGTGTCTGTGTGTGTGTGAATCTGTGTGTGAATGTGTGAGTCTGTGTGTATGTGAATTTGTGTATGTGTGCGTGTATGTAAATTTGTGTGTGTGAATGAGTCTGTGTGTCTGTGTGTGTGAGTCTGTGTGGGGGCTGTGTGTGTGAGTGTATGTGAGTCTATGTTGGGGGTGAGTCTGTGTGTATATATATGAGTGTGAGAGTGTATGTGAATCTGTGTGGGGGTGTGTGAGTGTAAGCGTGTATGTGTCTGTAAGAGTGTGTGTGAGTGTGGGTGGGGGAATGACAGTGAGGCGAGGTGGGAGACCTGCTTAGCAGCTGCCTGCTCAGCCTGGGTCCTCTCGTGCTGGGACATTTGCAGCAGTTGCTGGGCATGAGCGTGTAGATGTGCAGTCCCCAAGCAGGCCCTGGACAGATGCGAGTGCAGAGGTGCACTTGGGAGCTGCACCCAGGAGGCACAGAGAGGGAAGTGGAATGGGGGAGGGTAGGGGAGGATGCACTCTGGGGTGTGTCCTCACCTTGGCTGCAGCTCAGCCTGCCCGGACAGGCTGCTATAGGTGACTGTGCAGAGCGAAGCTCTGAGCTACCCCCACAGAGAGGTGAGGGAGCTGGGGTATTTATCCCACTCCCTGCCCTCATTGGTGAGAGGCTGCTCCCACTCTCTGTGCATGGCCTAGTGCGTTTCTGCAGCTGGAGGAGTCGAAGGCCAGGCCTCCAGGTGTGGAGGTGAGGGCGGAGGGGCTGTGCATGGGCCCCTGACAGCATCTGCTGCAAATCTCAGGCTGAAGCCAGGTCCCTGCCAGCTCGCAGTCTCCCTGCTCATGGGGCGTCCTCACCAAAGTAGCACACAGTCCTCTGGGCTGAGGGCCCTCCATGGAGCACCGGGTAGAATGGGGCAGAGTGTGGTGTGGAGGGGCTGGCAGGCCTGTGAGCTGGGCTGTCCTGATGCTGCCCACTGGATGTGGGAGGAAGGCCACACCCCAGCCCCTGCAAGGCGCACTGCATGGCCCTGTCCATCAAGAGGCCTACCAGAGGACAGTGGGGCTAGGGAAGCCTATGGAGACAAAGCTGGCACAGCGCTGGAGGGGCAGGGTTATTGAGCAGGGAGGCAGTGGGTGTCTGGCAAGGGTGTTAGAGGGTCTGTGAGGCCAGGGGGTGGCTCTAGAGCAGTGGTCCCCAATCTTTTTGGCACCAGGGTTTCATGGAAGACAATTTTTCCATGGACACCATGGTGGAGAGTGGTGGCTTTAGGGATGAAACTGTTCCACCTCAGATCATCAGGGTTGAGTTAGATTCTCATACGGAACACGAAGCCTAGATACCACACACGCTTAGTTCACAATCGGGTCCATGCTCCTATGAGAATCTAATGCTGTCGCTGATCTGACAGGAGGAGGAGCTCAGGCAATAATGCTTACTCCCCTGCCACCCACCTCCTGCTGTGCAGCTCAGTCCCTAACAGCCCACTGGCACTGATCTGTGGCTCAGGGGTTGGAGACCCCTGCGGTAGAGCACCCACCATGCTAAAGAAGAGTCAAACTTGCACCGTGTCATCTCTCCTGAGACTGCACTGTCCTGGCCCCACAGGGTGTTGGCCCCCAAAGGCTGTCTATCTCTCCTTTACACAGGCTGGCAGCTCTGGCAGGGGTGATGCCTCCTCTGTTTTGTAAACATGGGATGTTGGCACAGCAAGCCTGGTTGAGAAACCCCAGCAGCCAAGGAACCATGCATCAGGGGTTGCTTTGACCAAAGCACTGGGCTTCCTGAGAGAGGACAGGAACCACTCAGGCCTAGGGTTCTGGTGAGTCGCAGCCTCCAAGCTCGTTGCTGGAGCCACACCTGGGGAAGAAGCAGCCTTCCTCCAAGTGGCCACAGCCATGCTGTCCAATGCAGTAGGCGCTGGCCACATGCAGCAAGCTGTTCAGAGTTACTAGAATTAAATACAACTGGGAACTACCCCATCCCTCAGTCACGCTCAGCTGATAGCCGCATGTAGCCAGCAGCTGCCATCTCGGACAGCATGGACCCAGGGCATTTCCCTCATCTCAGAAAGTTCTACTGTACGGTGCTGGTCCCGGAGAAAGACCACCACCTGGCTGTGCCACAAAGACCCAGCCGTCCCGACCAGGTATCCGCCCTCCTCCCAGAGCAGGGCTTCAGCTATCAGCTCCGGGGACCAAATGCGGCACCCAGGAAACCGTAGGCAGTCGGCATTGTCACAACATGCTTCAGCATCCTGTGTGGTGGTGTGCTGGCTGAAGTGGCTACATGAAGACACACCAGTGAGAAGGAGTGGGTGACATGCTGCCATGAAGACACCAGGGGTCAGGCCTTACCCTCCACTAGTCTCAATGCTCACCCAACTCTGCTCACCTGCAGTGCTTTAAAATGTATGTACAGCCTGGGCAATATAGTGAGACCCCATTTCTACAAAAATAAAAAAAAATTAGTGGGGCATGGTAGCACATGCCTGTAGTCCCAGCTCCCCGGGAGGCTGAGGTGGGAGGATCATTTAAGCCCAGGAGGTTGAGGCAGCAGTGAGCAGTGATTACACCCCTGCACTCCAGCCCAGGTGGCAGATCAAGACCCTGTTTCAAAACAAACAAACAAAAAACTAGAAATGGACTTACCATGTGACCCAGCAATGGGTATCAAAAGTATCTTCTCAGAGAAATGAAGATACTTTCAGGCAGAAACTTGCATCTGAATAGTAATAGTGGCTTTGTATGTGACCCAAGCTGGAGGCCTGAGCAGCTGCCCAACCGTGCCCTGGAACGGCATTCAGTAGCAGGAGGGACAGACTGTGGGTGAAGTTTGGGCAGATGTGGAGGAAAGCAGGATGAGAAGCAGCCAGTCTCAGAAAGATGCCTCGTGTGCAGTTCCTCTGCATAGCACTCCTGAAGTCACATACTGCTCCACGATGGAGGACAGATCAGTGGCTGCCAGGGTCGGGGACCAGGCTGTGGGCAGGCGTGGCTGTGGAGGAGTTAGTGTGAGAGGGCTTTGGGGAGAGTGTCTGTTGAGGACCCTGATTATGGTGGTCACAGGAAGCTACACACAGGAGAAAATGGCACAGAGCAGTGCATGCACAGGGCAGTGATGCCGGCATTTGGAGGCCTGCAAGCACCCCCCGCCCTGCTTGGCTGCTCTGTCACTCTGCTTTCTGCCCACCACCACCCCTGCCCCCTCTGATGCCCCCTCTGATGCCCCCTCCTGTCTTCCAGCCATGGCCAAGAGGTGCGCCACAGCTTAACCTGCTCAGTGATGGACTCCAGGGCCCGCCAGAAGTCTCACCTGAGTAAGAAGTGGAGAATCCAGGCCCAGGAGAATTTTGCCAAGAGGTTTCCATACAGGTGCAGGATGCTTACACCTCTGGAGCCAAGCCCTGCCTCCCCCAGGTCACCCCAGCATCCTGGGAACTCAGATGTGTTCTGTGGGGCTGCAGCTTGGAGGGGGTTTCTTGTCCACAGGGAACCCCTTACCAGCCCTTGCTCTGCTGCCAGTCTAGGGTCTGCTTTCGTTGCTCCCATCATAGCCTAAGCCAAGGGGCCTCTAGGTGGGCTCAGGCCCTGGTGGGTCGTCCCAGAGCCCAGGCCAGCTGCTTCCCCAAGTCACCTGGGAGCATGGTGACAGATGCCTGCCCCTCCTGAGCTGTGTTGGAATTGGTGTGCTGAGCACCCGTTGTTTGTGAGCTCCTGGGACCAGGATTCAGCTGGGATAATGGACAGCCTGAAGGGAACTAGGGGCAGCTGGCCTCCCACCTGCAGGACAGCAGGCAGCATCTGGCGCTGTGGCTGAGCTTGGCACCCTGCAACCTCAAGCTGCGTACTCCATGCTCACTCCCCACCCCAGAAACAGGTGCTGTGTGCCCAGCGGTGGCCCTGGATGTTTGGCAGGGCTGCCCACAAGGACCACGGAGGACCACCTGGGCAGCCATGCTTAAGGGTGGTAGGGACGATGAGCTCCATGCGTGCCTCTGTGCCAAGCCAGCTGAGCACCTGTCCCTGTTCTTGCCCCAGAAGACTCTAGCTATATAGCCTTGTACCCCATTCTGTCCCCCATCGTAGACACTGCCACGTGAGGCCCAGGTGGCAGGTACACACCATACAGAGTGGCCTCAGGTTGAAACCAGGGGAGGCCAGCACCCAGGGGTTTGGATGCTCTGGACCAGCCCTTTTGGCTGCTGTGGCCATAACAAGACTCTCAAGCCAGCTGCAGCTTAGCTCCCACCTCCTGGCTGTGCAACTTCTGTGCCTCAGTTTCCATGTCTGTAAAATGTGGGTAACACCTGCCTCATAGCACCTGTGTGAGATGACATATGGGCCAATATTTGTGAAGCACTTAAAACAGTGCTTGGCAGATGGAAACTTCCAGATGAGTGACAGCCACTTCAGGAGGCTGGTGGCTGGTGGCCATGTTGACACTCCAAGTGCTGTCACAGGTTCTCGTTGCTGACAGAGCCTGACCCTGAGCCCCTGCAACCCTGGAAGGTCACCAACAACTCCAATATGGTGCAGCTGCCCCTGCAGAAGAGGTTGGTGCCAACGAGGTCCATCCCAGTCCGAGGGTAAGTCCCTGCCCTGAGGCTACCACCCTCCCCCCGCCGGCCTTGTGCATGCTGCCTGGCCTTCCTTCCCCCGATTTTGCATGTAGAAGTTCACATCATCCTCCCAGCATGTGCCACTTTAAAGCTGAGGAAACTGAGGCAGAGAAAGGGGACATTAAAGCCTGATGACTATTCCCACAGCCAGGCAGCTTCCAGGCAAGGGCAAATAGGACCTTCCCTGGGCAGGGCCTAGGCCACTGGGGCAGGCTTAGTTGCACAGGTGGTGGGGAAACTGGCCTCTGCAGTAGGAGCTTAGCCAGGTTCGCCACATGGGAGAGCAGCAAGGGAAGGAGCTGGGCACTTCTGCACTTAGTGTGGCTGCGCTGTGCTGGCTAATGCCGTACTCCAAGGGTGGAGGCCCTGGGCGGGCCCTCAGCAGACCACAGCACGAACTCTCAGGCCCTCTTGTCACCCCAAGCATGGGACACTCAAGGAAACCCTGGACACCCTTGGAAGGATCCAGCCACAGAAAAGCAGACCCTCAGGCACACCTACTTCCTCCTAAACAGATGTGGAGAAAGAAACAAAGCCTCTTACCCAGCAGCTCCTCAGTCATGCACTGCATGGGGAACAGCTGTGTGGCACTGAAGGGCTTCCTCCACCAGCGGTGCAGGCCACCCCAGCCTCCTGAATGCCCTGGCCCTCTGATGCCTTGGTCCCCCATCCACTGCAGTTAATGTCAGGGGCCCTCAGGGCCAGGGTGGGTCTGTGTTTACTTTTCCATGCCCATCATTTGATACACTGCGTGTCAACTCTGACCAGCCATGAGGATGCACACTCCATCCCTGAACTGATGCCTGGAGAGACAGACAGACAGATGCACGCACATCCAGCCCACACACAGCCCTGGAGCACCAGATCCCCAGGATTTTGCCCCACAGCTCCGAGCTGAAGCAATGGGCTTAGCTGCCAGGTCTGGGCTCTGAGAGCTCAGATGTTCCTGGTCTCAGATTCTACCCATGCAAAATGGAGTGGCTTAGAGTTAGGGGCAGCTGTGGGGTCAGAGCAGAGGCCTGGGGCTGAACCCTGCTGTTGGGAAGCTGAAGGTGGCAGTGGGCAGAGGTGAGGCTGGGGAGAGAGAATTGACCAGGGACAGAGCGGCCCCTAAGGCCCTGCCACAGTGGAGAGTTGATCCCATGCCTGGGCTGGAGAGATGGGCAGTGGTAGATTTCCACATCTCTACAACCTGGTCCATGAGTACAGGAGCTAGGGAGGGGGCTGTGGGTGTCAGCTTCTGTCAAATGGCAGCAAAACAGTGAGGAGCAGGCAGAAGGGAGATTTCCCACTCCATCCTGTGAGATAGCTGTGGAGACAGTCAAGTCTGTGGGTGGCATGCTGGGTCCTACATGTAGCTGCTGGGGGATGGGCTGGAAGGAGGGGTGGAAGAGAGAGGGTGGCCTCAGAGTCAGGTTGGCATGGCAGAGAGGTACGCCTCTGGCAGGTGCTGAAAATGAAGCTCACTTAATGGATGGGCAGTGCTTGGGAACACGTCCCCAGCCACTTATGAGGTAGGGGCTCAGGAGGCACTGGGGAACTCCTAGATTCTGGCTTGGATGTCAGGTGGCTGGAGGAGCCTGCCTGTGGGGGTAGGCGAATGTGGGGTGCCACCATGGCTTCCTGGGACACCAGGTGACAGAGGCTCTCTGTGGAAGGGGCCAGGCCAAGCCTGGTTGGGAGCAGATTCTGACTGGAGCCCTCCCAGATTTGGCCCTGGCTGACTTCTCTGGGCTGTAATTGCTGCAGCCAGCAGGGCTCCTAAAGGCCACGTGTGGCTGTGTGTGGCTTCTCTAGGCTGTAATTGCTGCAGCCAGCAGGGCTCCTAAAGGCCACGTGTGGCTGTGTGTGGCTTCTCTAGGCTTGAGGCTCCAGGTTTTACATCGCCGTCGGGCTCCAGCCCAGCACCACTGCCAGCTCCACCGCCACCTCCACTGTGTAGCCTTTGGGAACTCAAGTTGCTGAGCCGCCGCTTCCCCAGACAACTCGCCTTCCTGCTGTCCAACCTCGACACTGAGGCTGCCTCCCCCACAACCAGAGAGGCAGCAGGGCCATCCAGGGGCCTCTTCTAGAGCCTGGGCTTTGTGTGGCCTCCTTACTGGCCACCTACTCCTTGGCAGGCTCTGGGCAGCGGCCACAGACTTGAGTGAAGGGATCAGGCTTCACAGACCAGGAGTGCTTTGTGGTCCCCCAAGGAGCTATGCCAAGCTGATAAACTGGGCGGATTCCCACCTAACTTCCAGCTGGGATGATCACTTTGTCTCTCTGAGCCTTCATTGTCTCATCTCTAAAATTGTTGTAATAATGTTGAATCTTGCAGGGTTGGTGTGAGGATTAAAGAGTATGAATGTCCCTTCCAGGACTTTATCCCAAATGTACACTCACACAGGTGAGTAAACGCTGCTCACTCCAGTACTGCTAGAAACAGCAAAGAATTGGAAAGCAGCTAAACTGTTTCCTAAACACTGATAGGAAGCTGCTAAATTATACAACTGCTCCTGAAATCTTAGGCAGCCATTCAAATGTAGAGGCAGCTCTTAATAGACTGCTCTGAATGATCTATAGGTCTATTACAATCTTTGTTAAAAAGCTTATCAGAAGAGTATGTCTGATATGCTGCCATCTTGTGTGTACTAAAAATGAGGTGTGCTTGTGTATGTGTGTCCTGAGTGTGTGTATGTGTTGTGTGTTGTGTGGTGTGTGTGTGTGTGTGTATGTATGTGTGTTATGTGGAGCAGACAGCAATCATTACTTGAGGAGGAGAACGGGGAACCTGGGGACAGGACCCAGAGCGAGGCACACCATTTTTGTGGGTTGTCATACATGAGCCTGATGTCGTATTCCTGTATTACAGCATCAAGTAGTGTAAGAGTGTGCTGTGGCTGCTGGAGGCTTTGGAAAGCAAGACAGCAGCACTGGGCAGCAAGGTGCCTGCTGAAGATTTAAGGGTCCCCCTCTGTGTTCCACAAAGAAAGGGGCTAGAAAGTCACCTTGGAGTCCTTGGGAGGGTAAATAAAATCAGGACACTAATTGTAGCCCTCTCCCTGGAGTGGGGAGGGGGACCCCACTAAGTGGGGTGGGCAAGTGGCTTTATTGTCCCAGAAAGGAGGTGGAATGTGGACCCTTATGATGAAAAAATTGAAGGGGGTTGGCTTCCCAGGCTGTAGGGGCAGGATGGGATGGGTTCCCAGCCTGCAAGAAGCAGACCCTGGAGTCAGATCTGTGATGCTTGGGGAAGAGTGACAGGCCACCCTTTGCCGCCCCAGCCAATATTCCAGGCTCCCTCCCTGTGCTGCCCCAGCCAATACTCCAGGCTCCCTCCCACTGTGGGGCCTGAGGACTCACAGTGTCTGCCTGGGGGTAGAGTACAGCTTCCAGCAGCACCCACAGACCTGCAGGAAGCAGAGACCTCTGGGGTCCCCTCCTGTGGGGGTGGGAGCCAGGCTGATCTTCGTTTGGACCGTATAAGCCTCAAGGAGGTTGTCTCTGGGGGTTAAAGCTATGCAGTGTTTGATATAAGCAAATACATCAACTTGTGTCTACCATGCAGCATAACCAGGGACACGAGACCCACCCTATTCCTGCTGGGAGCTCCTTCCCCCACTTCACCCCACGCTGAGTCCCTCCTCCCCTGCCAGTCAGGTCACCACATCTTTCTCCCGGCTTTAAAAACATTATATCTTGGCCAGACTTGGTGACCTATGCCTGTAATCCCAGCACTTTGGGAGGAGGCTGAGAGCAGGTGGATCACTTGAGCCCAAGAGTTCAAGATCAGCCTAGGCAACATGGTGAAACCCCATCTCTACTAAAAATAAAAAAATAGCTGAGCATGGTGGCGCACACCTGTGATCCCAGCTACTCAGGAGGGTGAGGCCGGAGAATGGCTTGAACCCAGGAGGTGGACGTTGCAGTAAGCTGAGATAGCACCACTGCACTCCAGCCTGGGAGATAGAGTGAGACTCCATCTCAAAAAAAAAAAAAAAAAAAAAAAAAGTTTTATCTTGAAATAACACATTGTTTGCTTTTTTCAATTATATAAGATTGTATCAAACTCCATGTAACTTTTTCCCCTTCACAGCAAGTTGCTAAAAGTCATGTGATGATGATGCTACCACTGTAGTTCCTTCATTTTTCACATTTCTATTTCATGATGTGTCCACTCTCTTTCGGGTGGATGTCTGGGTTGTTTCTGCTTTGTGCTACTGTGGGTGCTGCTGCTCTATGCATTCCTGTCCCCATCCCCTGGGGTGTACTGTCTCCCCTCCCCGACCCAGGACAGGATTTGCAGGTAGGTCGGAGGGCTTCTGAGCCCCCAGAGCTCCTGAACTGGTAGCAGACCAATTTCCAGAAAGTTCCCAGCCTCTCCAGGTTCCCTTGCATTCACATCTGCACTACACAGGGGCCCAGAGTATTTGGGGCTTGAGCAGGAGCGGGCGCTGGCTGCTGCAAAGCTGGTGGTGGTTTGTAGAAAAAGTTGATAGCCCATTACCTGAATTCAGAGTCAATTATAAAAATGTACCGGGTCTTTAATTTGTGCCTCCCCTCCTGGGCATTTAAAGGAAGACTCTGAGGGCAGTCAGGATGTGTTTGCAGCCCCTGCCTTGTGCACCGGGTTTATGTCCATCCCCACAAAGGAGAAAATGAGCCCCCAGGAAGCTCTACTGCAGGGAAGCCCTTGCAGAAGAGCACTCAACAGCCTAAATGTTTGACAGGAGAGGGATGGTGCCGCAATGCTCTCTAAGCACAGCTACTCCATAAATGTTAGAAATGCTCATGCAGTGGCCCAGGTAGCAACACGGGCCCAGTACCCTGCATCTCACTGAGGCCACCTGGGTCCCCATGTGCCCTTAGGCTGTGAGCAGTTAGAGTCAAACACGGATCCACAGATGGAAAGGGGGAGGCATAGTGGACGGTGCATTAGTGGGTAAGACCCTCTCCTAGGAGTTTATCCTGCAGTCACACACCATACAACCTTTATGTTGGCATTGCCACAGAAAAGGATCCAAACTAACCTAGCATTTCAGACCAGTGGAACAAAAGCAGCACATTGTCGTGGAATTATGGTTGATTCTCTCCTCTGCCTGGGTCCCCCAGAACCAGCTCTGGAGGCAGGGATGGGGGTGTGAGTAGTGTATGTGAGAGGCGATTCCAGTTAGTCCATAGAGAAGTAGTGGGGAGACAGGGAAGGGATGGAACCAGGAAAGGAGTGTGCCCTTGAGCTGGCAGCCATGGCTTAGTCTGCTGGGACCACTGTAACTAACACCACAGATTGGGGGCTTTAAATAAGGTTTATTTTCTCCCGGCTCCAAGGAAGGCTAGACGTCCAAGGTTAAAGTGCCAGCTGCCTTGGTTCCCTGATGGGGGCTCTCTTCGGGCTTGTAAAGGGCTGCCTTCTCCATGTGTGAGAGGGTGAGACAGGGAGGGAGAAAGAGAGAACTCTCCAGTGGCTGTTCTTATGAGGACATTAATCCCACCAGACCCCACCCTCATGACCTCTTTTCAACCTGGTCACCTCCCAAAGGCCCTGTCTCCAAATAGCGTCACGTTGTGCATGAGGGCTTCCACATAAGACTCTGGGGAGAATATAATTCAGTCCTCAGAAGCCTCTATGGGCACTCAGTGCCCAGTTCTTGTGGGAAAATCTGGGGGCACCATGCAGATTGTCCTTCGATATTCTTCATGCAGGGATGAAAGCTGGAGCATTTATCCCCCAACTTTCATCAGCTGTGGGTGAGGACTGCTCCCAGGGGCACTAACGCACACCCAGCCTTCCTGGTGGTCAGAGGAAGCCTGTGGGAGGGTTGCAGATGCCAGGGAGCCCATGGAGGCACCGACCTGAAACTGGCTGTCAGTTCTCAGACTCCCTTGCCACTAGGAATGGCAGTGGGCAGGTTCACGCCAATGGCATTGCACTGGGAATGGAATGGACTGTCCAGTTTGGGTCTTTAAAGCAAGCTTGGGTGCCCTTCTTTTCCCTTTGACATTCAGATACCTGAAAAGTAAATGGTTCACTCTCATGAAAAAGGGCCACGAGATGGGGGAGCAACAAAAGAGCTCCGAGTGGCCCAGTGAAACAGCTGTCCCACAGGCCTCTGCCCCCTTCCTCTGGGTAGCAGAAAACACCTTAACCAACTGTCATTGAGTTTTTGTCCCAGGCAGCCTCACTTGTATCCTCATGCAGGAGCCGCAATATGACGGGGAAAGGTAGCATCCTGAGATCTGGGCTCACTGACCCCTTGGAGTGTTCTGGTGACACACAATTGGAACTGCATGCAGCAGCCAGGGCCTTGACTCCACCCCCCAGCTGTCACGCTCATTGCTGAAGCCCACAGATGCATTCAGCTGTGCTTCTAAAACCATAATGTATGAAATCTTGCTGTTTGCAATAAACTGGGGCTTTATTCTAAATTTTAAACATTGGAAACATGCCTCTCAGGAAGCTGCCTGGATAACAAAGCCACAGAATAAAACAAACAAACAAACAAACAAAACAAAAAACCCTACCCTGTAACTGCAGAAAATTGGCTAACATTTTCCTGACAATGAGAGCCAGAAAAAAAGCAAAACAACCTTATACTTATTTTAAATAAGTCTGTAACCCAACCCAGCAACAGCACCCCATCGTGGGAGGGGTCTCGCCAGTGCTGTCCAACTTTAAGAGACTGAATACCTGGGAAGTAAAAGACAATTTCAAGGCAGTTAACATGCCATGTGACCTAGGGTTTGTGCCATCAGCCCCTGTGGGCACTGGACCAGGGTTTTAACAATCACCTGCCTGAAGGAGGTGCCAGATGGAGAGCCACCTGGGCACCTCTTGTGTTGTCCAGCTCTACACACATGACCCTGTCTTTCTTGGGTCCTCCAGTGATCCAGCTGGGACCCCACAGGGTAGTCAGCCTGTGATCTATGAGGACGTAGACATTCTGGCACCAGCCAGAGAGGAAACAGGCCACAGCAGGCCAGAGCAGGTAGAATTCCCCAAGGACAGCCTCCAGAGCTGCCCCAGCTCCCTCAGTCTTCAAGGGCCTGCGCTGTGGCCCTGTAGACACAGCAGAGGGTGCAGGGCTGCATGTGGTGGACACAGTGCCTGTGTGACAGCATGACATTGGGTTCCTGCAGCATCCACACATGGGGACATCGGTGAGAGAGCAGTGGAGTAGCTGCCCGCACAAGGGACTGAGTATGACAAATGCCAGCATGTCCAGGTGCTGAGGGCATGACAGCAGGAGGCAGGGCACATCTAATTGTGAGACACCTGAGAGTGAGATATCCAGATGGGTGTCAGTTTCAGCAAACAGGTCCCATTGGGGGCTATGTGGGAGCTGAGTGAGCTGGGAGCAAAGGCATGTGTCATCAAAATGGGTGTGCAACAATCGCACACACAGTGGCTTAGAACACAGCATGTGTAGCCTCTAAGGGAGCATGTGAGGGCCAGGCAGCACCTCACAAAGACAGTGGCCCCAGTGTGTCCAAGGCCCCATCATTCCCTCCTCAGCCTGGCTCCAAAGAATGGGGCTGTGGTCCAGTATTTTAGTTTCTTTTTTATTACTTATGACAGAGCTCCTGAAATGGGTAATTTATAAAGAAAATAAATTTACTTCTTATAGTTATGGATGCTGAAAAGTCCCAGCTTTAGGGACTGCATCTGGTGAAAGCCTTCTTGCTGACAGGGACTCTGGAGACTCTGGAGGTGGTGCAGGGCTTCACATGGCAAGGGGGCTGAGTACACTATCTCTGGTCTCGTTTACTCTTCTTATAAAGTCATGGGTCCTACTCCTATGGTGACTCATTAACCCATCAACCCATCAATCCATTAAATCAATCTATTAATCCACCAATGGATTAATTGATCTGAGAGGGCAGAGATCTCATGACCCAATCACCTCTTAATGACCCCACTTCTCATTGTGGATTATATTTCAACATGTGCCACATTGTGGATTAAATTTCAACGTGAGTTTTGGAGGGGACAGATATTCAAACCATAGCACCCAGGGAGCTCTGGAAATGGTGCAAAGCCCTAGGCTTTGTGTGTCCCTCCATGGGGAGAAGGATCCAGGCTGGGGGAGGCCTCGTGGGGAAACCAGTGGTGGCAGCAGCCCCTTCCCAGGTCCACTGGAGTTGGCCACCCCATTCCTATTGGCAGGGCCTCTGGACACAGCTTGAAGAGAGCTCAGAGAGGGGCGTCCAGCTCTGGGGGAGCTCAGAGAGGGGCATGACCTGATAGGGAGGCTCCTTAGAGTGGTCTGAGAAGGGATAGCATTGCAGCCCAGGGATGGTGCAAACAACAGCAGGGTGTGACGTGTCTGAGCTGCTGGTCCTGCTGGCCCCTGGCTGCCCAGGTCCCCACAGCTGAGGTTTGGTCTTCTCCATGTCAAGCTGCCCTTTCTCCTTGTGTTTCTGATTTCTGCTTTTCAAACAGTCAAGCATGCCCTACCCTCTTCTTCCCAAAGTTCTGGCATTTTTATTGATCACCCAAGCAAACTAAAAACATCGTATATTCACTGTCACTGTAAGGGGACATTCAGTTCCTCCCAAGTGACTCTCATAGCCAGCTGTCTCCCTAAAGCTGGGTGGATGATGCTCATTGTCAAGTGGCCCAAGACACACCTACACTCACAAATTCATACACACAATACTCTCACATTCATGCACATATGCACACTCACACTCATACACTCACACACTCATGCACACTCTCAGTCACACATGCACCAAGGTGGGAGGCAGCACAAGGCCCAGGGCTTGGCTGAGCGGGTGTGGACTTCAGTCCTTGGCCCAGGTCAGGGTGAAAGAGTAGCTTTTCTCCAAGTTGTCAGTGCCAGAATTTTGCACCCCCTACACACGAACGCTCCTCACCTTATACCCCATGTAGCCCCTCACTCCTATGCACCACTGGGAGGTACCCAGGCTTTGTGGGCACTTTCATCTGATCTTCTTATGCCACTTGGCAACAGGAAAAGCAAAGGCTTAGAGATTGAGTGGTTTGAAATCAGACAGCTGCAGGCTCCCAGAGAAAAGGGCCCAATGAAGCAGAGAAATTCCAAAAAGTCAAAAAGTAACAAAATACGTTTATTTCAGAACCATAACTGCCCAGCTCACCAAAGTCCCCTAAAACCTTCTATCACATTGCACCAGCGGCTCTGTTGGCATGGAGACTGAAGACTCAGCATCTTGCCAGACTGAGACCTAAGGTGGCGTCTGGGCAGTGCCAGCCACGTGGGAAATGAGAGGAGGCCCAATAGCAATGAAAGGTAGCACCCAGCTGGCTCCAGGGAAGGCCCCATCATGAGGCCAGCCAAGTGAGGGCTTTCGCCCTTGGCCACAGCTGTCCTTGCCAGGGTGGGAGAGGTGGGGAGGGCACTGGCTCGGGCCACACTGACACCAGTATCGGTATTCTGTTCTGATGAACCATGAACAGGTTCAGGGACACAGCTGACCCCCAAACATGGCCTTTAAAAGCCTAAAACCCTGGTTACCAAGTCCTTGCCCATCAATGGGGACTGGGGAGGTGCCTGTCAGCCGGAGCAGGTGGAGGAAGCAGGCCTCAAGCGACAGGCCAAGGCAGGCACATGCATGTAGGGCCACCTGAGGTGTGTCCTGTGCCCACTGGGCCAGTGGCCAGGTGACTGCATGCAGTAGCTCTTGAAAAGGGGTCCTGGAGCCGGCAGCACCTGCAACCTCCAGGGTCTTGTTGGAAAGGCATTTGCCCTGCGTGGCCACAGGCCCTCCAGGACCTCTAGTGCAGCTGCAGATAGGAGGGGGCAGAGTAGTTGAAGAGCAGGAAGTCCATCTTGTAGAGGTCGAAGAGGCGCCGCTGGTAGAAGGGGCTGATGTCCCGGAAGAGGCGGGCTGCCAGGTCTTGGGAGGCAGCGGCCGCCCGGGGCCGGGGCGGCGCGGGGAAACTCAGGCCGGGCGCGCCCGCCAGGGCCAGCACGAAGGCCGCGTCCTCCGCCAGTGTCTCGAACTTGCCTACTACGTCGTAGCGGAGGCGGCACGGATGGCAGAGCGCATGCGCACGCTCCCAGTGCTCATTGAAGGGCTCCTCGCGCCGCGTGCGCGGGTCCAGCAGGTAGGCCAGGAACTCGGCGAAACGCACGTCGTGGCCGCGGGCCCGGGCGACGGGGAGCGCGCGCGGCCGCAGGCGCTGCACTATGCGTGCGCCGTAGCGCCTCTGGAAGTCTGCGCTGTAGGGGCGCGCGAGCTTGTTGCGGTAGGCGGACGCCAGGCGCTCGAAGGGCTCCCGCACGAACAGGAAGGTCAGGTAGGCGCGCAGGCGGCGGTTGATCTCGGCGGGGCTGAAGTCGGCCAGCGAGGGCAAGCGGCCGGGCGCGTGCGCCTCGTGTGCGGGGATGGCGCGCGGGTCGCCGCGGGCTTTGCCGCTCAGCGCCAGCAGCACGCGCTTCCAGTTGGTGCAGGCCACCTTGGGCACGTAGCAGTAGAGCAGGCCATGAGTGTCGTCCACCAGCACGTGCCGCAGGTCTTCGGGCTGCAGCAGGCGCTGCCGGCGTGTGTGGCGGCTACAGGCGCTGCTCAGCAGGTCGCGCCGCTGCCGGTGCACCTCGGCCAGGGCCGCCAGCGGGTCCTGCGGGTGACAGGGGACGGGGCAAGGGGACGCGTCAGGGCAGCCGGGCTCCTTGACTCTGGTGCTGCCCTGACGGGCTGTGCTCCGGAATTGGGGGCAGGAGCTGGGCCAGGCACAGATTGGCACCCCAGGGCTGCCACTGATCCCTGTGTGGCTTGGGACCCGGACGTTCATCCTGGGCCTGGATTTGGGAGAAACGGGTACTGACCATGCTGAGGCAGGAAGAAGGCGCTCAGAGGAGGAGTGATGGCATCAGATTGCGCTCGTGTGAGTATGGGCACACATGGGCTCCTCACTATTTACTGAATGCAGGAGACTGCACAAGAAGCAGTGCTGTTTAATTCCACACCCAACTGAAAACTGCAGCCGCTTGTGGGCTGTTGGGCTGCTTTGCCTCATTAATAAATAGGCTGATTCTTTACTTATGAATTGGCACTCTCCTTTGCACCCTCACACGCCTTTTCTTCCCCCAGCGCAAATTCTCTCAGCGCTGAGGCAGGAAGCTTGCCCCTTCTGAGCCTGCCCCTCCTCTGAGAAGGAACACCATCTGTCTTTAATCTAGCACCAGCTGTGGGCCAGCCGCCTCACCGCTCTCCAAATTAGGTCTGGACCCCTGTAGCCTCAGCCATGCAGAGACCCAGGCCAGCGCCTCCAGGCATCCAGCTCCCCTCTCTTCAGATCCCTCCTGTTTCGCACGGGGTTCTTATCTCCAAGATTAACACACCTACCTATATTTTTTGTGTTAAGAGTTCATAAAAGAGTTTTAACTTTTTAAAATTACATTACGCACTTTCAGGATATAATTTAAAAGACAGTAAGGAATTGGTGAGGATGTGGAGAAAGTGGCGCCTTCACACTTTGCTGGTGGTAATGTAAAGGGATGCAGTTGCTGTGGAAAACGTTTTGGCAGTTCCTCAAAACCAGTGAACATGTGACTCAGCAATTCCTCTCCTTGGCATATTCTCGAGAGAACTAAAAACATATGCAAAAACTTCTTGCACATGAAGTTCATAGCAGCAGTATTCACATTACCCAGGAAGCCTAAGTGTGCACTGCTGAGTGGGCACATGTATGCGGCCATCCGTGTAATGGAATATGACTCAGCCATGAAAAGGAATGTGGTGCTGTCACACACCGCCACATGGGTTGACCTAGAGGACGTTATGCGAAGCGAGTAGGACAGTCACAAAAGGACGAGTGCCAAACAGTCCCACTTAGTGAGGTCCCTAGAGCAGTCACATCCAGAGAGACTGAACTAGAACTGAGTGAATTGTGGGGGACTGCTGATAGACACTAAGCGGCTTTTGAGGGTGATCAAAAGGTTTGGAAATTAGATAGTGTTGATGGTTGCAAAACCTTGTAGAAATACTGAAAACAATTGTATAGTTTGGAAGAGTGAATTGTATGGTATGTGAATTCTCAGTTCAGAAAAAAGCCTTCAGGGTGTTTCCATTTCAGAGGAAGCCAAAGCAACCTTTGGAGGAACACTAGAGCCAGGGCTTGCTTGGGAGGGTGTGACGCCAGAGGGGTGGGAATGCGTGTGTGGTGCACGCATGTGGTGTGTGCCTGTGGGGCATGTGTGTGGTGTGTGGTGTGTGTGTGTGTGGTGTGTGTGGTACATGTGTGGTGTGTGTGTGGTGCACGCCTGTGGTGTGTGAGGTGTGCATGTTGTGTGTGTGCTGTGTGGTGTTTATGTGATGTGTGGTATTTTGGGGATGTCTGGTGTGGGGGTGTTTGGGTGGGTGTCTGGTGTGTGTGATGCGTGTGTATGGTGTGTGATGTTTGTGGTGTGTGGAGTGTGTGTGTGTGTGCTGTGCATTGTGTGGGTGGTGTGTCTGTGGTGTGTGGGAGTGGGTGGTGTTTATGTGTGGTGTGCATGTGTTGTGTATGTGTGGTGTTTTTTATGTTGTGATAGGTGTGTGTTTGTGGTATGTGAGGGTGTGGTGTTTGTATGTGGTGTGCGTGTGGTGTGTGTGTGGGGTGTTTATTGTATGTGTGTAGGAGGCTGTGTGTGTGGTGTGCATGTGGTGTGCTTGTGTAGTGTGTGATGTGTGGAGGGGTGTGGGGGTGTGCATATGTGGTTGGGGGTGTGTGTGGTATGGGGTGTGTGTGTGTATGTGGTGTGTGGTGTGTCTGTGGTGTGTGTGTTTGTGGTATGGGGTGTGTGTGGTGTGTTTGTGGTGTGTGTGTAGTGTCTGGTGTGCATGGTGTAGAATGTGTGTGGTGTGTGGGGGGATGTGTGGGGTGTATGTGTGTGGTATGTACAGTGTGTGTGGTGTGTCTGTAGTGTGTCTGGTGTGTGGTGTGTTTGTGGTATGGGGTGTGTGTGTGGTGTGTGTGGTGTGTAGTGTGTGTGTGGTTGGGTGTGTGTGGTGTTTGTGGTATGTGTGTAGTATCTGGTATGCATTGTGTAGACTGTGTGTGGTGTGTCTGTGGGGTGTGTGGGGTGTATGTGTGTGGTATGTACAGTGTGTGTGGTGGGTGTGTGGTGTAGGGTGTGTGGTGTGCGGGGGGTATATGTGGTATGTGGGGTGTATGTGTGTGCTGTTATGTGCAGTGTGTTTGTTGTTTGTGGAGTATGTGCGTGTCCATGTACATGTGTACACTGTGCTCCTGATGCCTTTAAAACTATCCCACAAACGTCTGAGATACACTAAGTGAAAAAACCTAGGTGCAGAATAGAGCTTAATATTCTTGTTGAAGAAGGGAAAGAAATAAATGTTTCACAAAGGGTGGATGGAGGGAGACTTACTCTTTTACAGATACGTTCAGACATAGTCACAGAATCCACAAGGCTGGGACTGGCTTCACAATCACCCCAGGTTGGAGTAGGTGGTGGGAATGCCGGGGTTCCTTGAACTATTCTCCCTACTTCCATATGTTTGAGTTTTTCAAAATGAGAAGACAGGCAGAGACAGACAGACATAGGACATACATGCCTGTAGGTGAGATTCCGAAGCAGTTACTGTAAGCACACGGCAGAGCAGTGGACACTGCCTACATGCCTCGAACATGTCTGGAAGGACACCCAGGGACCTGGTGGCCTCTGGGGAGGACAGGTGCCTGGACAAGGAGACCTACTCTTTACGGTACATTCCGTTATGATGTGTCGAATTCCCTGTCATGTGCTTACATTTTTAAAAATCTCACCATTTTGAGAAATGGTGAAGCCTGGTGACGTCATGCTAAGTGAAATAACACTTAGCCACCTTCACCGTGGGAGGGCTGCCAGTTTCAGCCATGCCATGGGGGTCTGGGAGCAGCTGGGAGACCCTGTTTCCACCATCAGAACTGACCTCAGAAGCCTGGCTCCACATGGTGCCAGGGGAGGCTGTCCCGGGGCCCACAGCCAAGGTCTGCTTTCAGCTTCTAGATAATCCAACACATTTCTTGTGGCAGGGAATGTTGGCCATCCGGCCACCTGTCAGTCTTCCTCCTTCCTTGCTGGCAGACCCAGGATGTGCCAGGGCATGAGCCCAGCCTCAGGGAGCCACATCTGCAGCCATGTGTGCCATTGCTGAAGCACTGGGTCCAGGGGTTTGTGGGGGATGTGATCTGGCTCTTCCTGAGGTCATATCAGGGGAAGTCGGCCAGATGGCTCCCAGAAAAGACTCCCTTAAGGTGAAAAGTCAGGGGAAACCCTTATCCCACCACTCCCTTTCTGCCTGGGATGCCCTCCTATGAGGTGTCTGAGCACTGGCAGTCCTCTTACAGCCAGGATGCCAGCTCTGTGACAGAAGTCAACACCTAGAGGACGATGGTGGGTGGCTGGCTGCTGCTGAACTGTGGGCTGCGGGTCTCTGAGCAGCTCATGGGTGAGCACTACCCATCCTCATGGCTTGAAGCAGCTTCGGCTGCCACTGCTGTTGCTCATAGGCCCATGAAAACACATTTTACAGAAGAGAAAACTGAAGCTCAGGGGAAATGAGTTGAGTGGAGTCACACAGCTCTCAGTGGGGAAGCCAGGGCTCCAGTTCAGGCCCCTTGGGACCTGGACCTATGTCCACTGTCCAGGGCTACACCCTACAGCTCCTGTCCTTACACTGGCATGACTGCCTGGATTCCCAGCTGGCCCTAGTCCTTAGAAGCTCTGTGACCTTTGCAGTGCACTTGCCATCCTGTGCCTGTTTCCTTGTCTGTTAACAGGGGTAACAGCCCCACCTTATGGGTTGCTATATGAACACCCAGAACTAAAGGGCCTGGCACGTGGTCAGCACTTGTTGGCCAGATGATTTTTATGGCTTCATTTATCCAGCCACAAGGTGCTAAGCCTTCTAGAACTTGACACCCCTATGGTCACAGGGTCCTCAGGCTGTGAGGGGCCATCTGCCCCTCAGAAGCCTCCAGAGCTATTGGAACCCAGGGCCCTACTGAGTCCTACCCTCAGCCTGCTGTGTGGCCCAGGGTAAGTCAGTCACTCTCTATGATGAAGGCCTCCCTACCTGTTCATACGCTTCAGCCAGATGAGCTTCAGGAGCCCTTTCGGCTCAGCCCTCAGAATCTGGGGAGCAGCCACCTACCCAACTCTACCCTGATCCTTCTCCACACAGCAGTCCAAGGGGTACCACAAGGGTGAAAATCTGACGCTGTCCTTCCCCACTTAAAGCCCTCCATTTCTCCCCACTACCCTTGCACACCTGCAGGGCCTGTGGGCTGCCCTCTTCCCCAGGCTACCCTGGCACACCCTCTCCTGTCCTCCGCTCCCTGCAAGGCCTTTGGCGCAGCTGTTCCCTCTTCCTTCCCTCCTGTCTGCCTGTTGACTCTTGCTCTTCAGCCTCAGCTCCAACGTGCCTTCTTTAGAGAGGGTCTCCTCTCCCCCATCTAAACTAGGACCCTCTCAGGAGAGCTCTTGTTGCACCTCATACTCCCCTTTAGAGCAGAATTAGTTAAGTATTAGTGTGGGTGGTGATGAGATGACGTCTTCCCCTGCTGGACTGGTGGCTCCACCAGGGGAGGGACCTGGCTGACCTGCCTGCTGCTGGATCTCAGCATCCTGACCGCAGCCTGCATGCAGTAGGTGCTCAATACATGCTGTCCAAATAAGTACTTCTCTGTGTGTGTGTATGTGTGAGAGAGAGAAAGAGAGAGAGAGAGAGAGAGAGAGAGAGAGTGAGTCACGGGGGGTTCTTAGTGGTGGTATATAGTTGTATGTGTGTGTTTGGGGTTGTGTGTGGTCCCTGAAGGCCCCCAGCTAAAGTTGTGTGTGTGGGCCAGCAAGCTGCCTGGTCTATCTGCTTGAGAATCACACCAGGGGTGGGGTTCCCTGCATGCCTCCCCACTGCAGCACACACTGAGATTTGGGCTCCCACTAGACTGTGAACTCCCTGAGGGCAGGTACAGATTCTGTTTTGGCTTTTTAAAAATATCCAACATGAAGAACTGTGCCTGGCCTCAGATTATTGATGGATGGAAGATACGTGGGTGGAGACCCCAGATCTCTCATCTTACCCACAAGATTTGCCCTTGTCACTGCTCTCTGACAAAGCCTGGGTTTGGGGAGAATGCCCTTCCGTGCCCCAGTGTGGGATCCAGTCTCATGCCAGCAGGTCTGCACTGTTGCTGTCAGGCTCCTGGCTGGGATGGAGGGGGCATGCCTGGGTCAGGGGTCTGTCCACCTACCTGGTCCAGATCGTAGAGCTTCTGCAGGGGGCTTCTCCTCTCCCCACCAAGCCAGCTGGAGCCCAAGGCTCTGTTTCCAAATGCTGTGGACATAAGGAGAGAGGTATCGCCACCACATCAGAAGGACTTGCATAGACCTGGGGACTTGGCCAACCCATCTAGGCACATTTGACCCATGTCTGGCACTCAGTTTCCTTCCCAGGTCCTGCCTACCTCCTAGGGGCTTGGTGGGGTGGGAGATAGCAGGGGGTCCTAATAGGGCAGAATTATACCAGGGTAGTGTCTTGTGTCATTCCTGCCCCATGTCCTACCCTCCAAAGTTGGAGGGTGCCAGGCAAGAGGGGACAAGTTGGAAGGTGGTACCCAGCCCACCAACCCTCTAGAAAAGGCCAGATCACCCAAACTGACCTACTGCCATCTACCCTGGCCTCGTGCCCCACCCTTGTGGGGCTCACCAGGCTGGCTGGCTGCCTAGCACCCCCAGATCCTACATATGGGTAGCCAGAAAGGTTCAGGCAGCAGTGGAGATAGCACAGTGGGCTTCAGGCTCTCAGTGCCACCTTGCTAGGCTGCGTGACCCACTGTGGATGCCTGTGGCCTCAGTGCTTCCCCATCAAGGAATATGCTGCTTCACATAGAAGCAGGTTTAGCCATCTCCAGATGAGGAGAGGGATGCTGTCTGTCTGTCTGTCTCCTGGCTGGGGACAGGGATGCTGTCTGTCTGTCTCCTGGCTGAGGACAACCATGGTGTCTGTCTGTCTCCTGACTGGGGACAGGAATGCTGTCTTTCTGTCTCCTGGCTGAGGACAGGGATGCTGTCTCTCTGTTCCTTGCTGCACTCCTTAGTTTTCCTAGAACTATTATAAGTAAAAATTCATTTACCTTTAAGTTTATTATTTTACTCAAAATCTGTTTTAAGGAATACCATTTCAAACATAGTCAATTAATATTAATATGTTCTCAGTAATATATGCTCATATGCTTCTGGATCCCATTTGTCCTGAATATTATTATGTATATCAATAAACTAATAAGGTGTAAGGTGATTTTTGAAGAGATCACAAAAACTGGCAAGCCTTTAGCTAGGCTGATCAAGAAGAAAATAGACTCCAATTACTAAAAACAGGAAAGAAAGAGAGGATATTACTACTGATGTTAAAGACGCAAGAAAGGAGTATAAGAGAACTATGAACAATTGTAGCCCAACCAATGAGAAAACATATAGGAAACAGACAATTTCCTAGAAAGACAGAAATTCCTGAAATTGACTCAAGAAGAAATATAAATCTCAACAGACCCATAACAAGTAAAGAGGTTGAATTAGTAATAAAAATATTCCCACAGATAAAAGCCCAGGATCAGATGGCTTCACTGGTAAATTTTACTAAATGTTTAGAGAATTAACACCAGTCTTTCATAAAGTCTTCCAAAAAACAGAAGAGAAGAGAAGAGAACACTTCCCAACTCATTTTATGAGGCCAGTATTATCTAGATCCCAAACCAGGCAAGAAAAACGTACTACTGCAGAGCCATGCCCCTTGGGAATGTAAGTGCAAAGTTCTCAGAAAATACAGGCAAACCCAAAATAACATCCTATGAAAAAGTTTATGCACCATGACCAAGTAGGATGGATCCTAGGAATACAAGATTGGCTAAATATATGCAGATCAATCAGTGTAATACTCTATTAATACAATCAAGAAACAGGCCCACACACTCATCAGTAGATTCAGAAAAAGCATTAGACAAAATCCAACACCTTTCTTCATGACAAAACACACTAAACAGGTTGAGAATAGATGGAAACTTTGCCAAACTGACAAAGGGCATCAACAAAAAACTCTCAGATAACTTAATAGTGAAAGACTGGAAGCTTTCTCCCTAAGATCAGGAGCAAGGCATGAGTGCCTGCTTTTGCCACTTCTATGAATTGTACTGGAGGTTTTAGCCAGGGTAAGTGGTCAGGAAAAATAAATAAAAGGCATCCAGGTTGGGAAGTAAGAAGCAAAACTATGTCTATTCATAGATGGCATAACCCTGTCTGTATAGAAAACCCTAAAGAATTCATAAACCATTAAAGCTAATAAGTGGGTTCAGCAAGGTTACAGAATATAAGATTAATATACAAAAGTCAATTATATTTCTGTACACTAGCAATGAATAATCAACATTAAAAATAATGAAGTAATAAAGAAGACATTGATAACAAAGGAAGTGTAAGACCTGTACACTGAAAACTATAAGATATCATTGAAAGAAATTAAAGACCTAAATGAATGGAAAGTCATTTCCGGTTCATGGATTGGAATACTTAAAGTTGTGAGGAAGGCAGTGCTCCCCAAGTCATCTACAGATTTTTTGCAGTTCCTACCAAAATCTCAGCTTCCTTTTTCTACCAAAATTGACAGCTGATCTTTAAATTCATGTGGAAATTGAAAGGATTCAGAATATCCAAAACAGTCTTGAAAAAGAACAAAGTTGGAGGATTCACATTTTCTGATACCACAACTTTACTGTACAGCTACAGTAATCAAGAGTGTGTGCCGCAGGCTAGGAGAGACATATAGATGAATGACATAGCATTGAAAGTTCAGAAACAAACCCTTACATTTATGGTAAATTGATTTTCGATGACGGTTCCAAGACAATTCAGTGGGGAAAGGACAGTCTACAATAAATGGTGCTGAAACAACTGGATATTCACACGCAAAAGAATGAATTTGTACCCCTTCATCACACCACATACAAAAACTAACTCAAAATGGATCATAGCCCTAAATAGTGAGGTTAAAACTATGAAACTCTTAAGTGAGAACACTGTCACAAATCTTCATGACCTTAGAGTAGGTGATGATTTATTAGATATGACACCAAAAGCACAAAGCAACATTTTTAAAAATAGATAAATTGAACTACATCAGTATTAAAAACATTTGTGCTTCAAAGCATACTATCAAGAAGGTGACATGATGACCCACAGCTGGGAGAAAATATTTGCACATTATCTCTCTGATAAGGAACTAGTACCCACAACAGCTGGAGAACTCTTAAAATGGAACAACAAAAGACAAACCAATTTTTAAAATGGGCAAAGAATCTGAATAGACATTTCTCCAAAGATACACATACGGCCAATAAACACATGAAAAGGTGCGCAGCATCACTAGCCATTAGTGAAATACAAATCAACACCACGAGGATGGTTATTTAGAGACAGTAAATAACAAGGATGTGAAGAGGTTGGAGCCCTCACATATTCCTGGTGGGGATGTGAAGTAGTGCATCCATGAGGGAAAACAGTTTGGCGATTTCTTAAAGCTAAGCTTAGAATTACCTTACAACCCAGCAATTCCTCTAAGTATGTTCCTAGCACTGAAAACTTGTGCACAAATGTTCCCGTCAGCTTTGTTCATGATAGCCCCAAAATAGAAACAACCCAAATCCATCAGCTGATGAATGGATAACAAAAATTTGGCTGTCCATAACATGGGCTATTAATTGGCCATAAAAGGAATGAAGAACTGACTTATGCTTTCATATGGCTGAGCCTTGTAAATGTATGTTAAGTCAAAGAGGCCAGACACAAAAGGCCACCTAAGATACAACTCCATTTATGTGAAGGCCGTCTTAATATGTTCATAAGAACATTGAATATTCTGAAGAATATGTTCAAGAATTCAGGAACGTGAGAAAAGAAGGATACATATTTCTGTGACTCTTGGCTTTCAACAAAATGAAGAGTCTATAAATGTCGCTAAGAAGAATATATTCACTGAAAAGATTCAGTAACTTCCTTTGAAACAAACTTCTGGCACACCAGTAAACTGGGAGATCTGAGGAACTGGACTGCTGGCAAATTGACCTAGAGCAGTGGTTCTCAAACTTCAGTGTGTGTGGGGCCCATGGAACTCAGAGTCCCCAGCCCCACCCCTGGAGTTTCTGCTCCAGTAGGTTGGGAGTGGTGCCTGAGAGTCTGCATTTCTAGCAGCTCCAGGTGAGGCTGCGGCTGCTGCTCTGGGATCACACTTTGAGAACGGCTGTGTGGGTACAGTACCCGGCAGGCAGAACATGGTCTGTGCTAAATAAACAGAGCTTCATGGGAGGAATAGATGGCATCTGGACGGGCCTTGCACTAGCCTCCAGAACCCTGCTGCATGTACCCAAAGCCCACCGTCCAGGGTCCCTGCCACCCCCTGCCTGCCTCAGGCCCCCTCTGCACCCCAGGCCATGTCCTGTAAGGCCCAGGAACGAGGGCCAGACTCCAGTGACCAGGCCATGCAGAGGAGGCTGAGGCCCTGGGAGGCTTAGGGCTGCCTGTGTCTTATGGTCACTGACCAGCCCAGCATTTGCCCTTTGGTCTCCAGATTGAGTCATGGATCTGAACTGCCAGACATGTTCTAGGAATGACACTGTCATCAGAAAAGGACCTGACAGGAGAGGACAGCAATGTTGGCTGGTCACGCAGGTGTGGGGAGGCCCAGGCTGGGTCTGGCCACTGCTGCTGGCCTGAGTGTAGCAGCAGCCATGGGAGCTCCGCTGGCACCACACCAGGCAAAGTAGGACAGGGCAGGGTGCCCAGTGAGAGGAAGTCAGCCCTTCTCACCATCTTGCAGATTAAGACATATGCCTTTCCTGGGGGCTGTGGCTGGGGACTGAGGAGGAGCTGGTGCTGAGCATCACGGATCTGTGGACAGGGGCAGGAGGGGCAGTTGCAGTGATAGGAGCAGACCCAGACCTGTCTCTGCCGCAAGACCCTGCTACTCGGAGACTCTCAGCCTTCCTGAAGTGCTAACCCTTGCACAAGGCCCTCTCATTTCCTGGCCAGACCACAGCCTGTAGGAAAGTGGGTACCATGACAGACTCCAGGGGCCAGAGGGTAGAAGGGAAAAGGGAACAGGCACCAGAGAGAGGCCCAGAATAGCTGTGGCCAGTGATTACAGGGCTGGACTGCCTCTGCCCGGCCCCACCCTGCCTGCCACAAAGCCCGAGGAGCCTGGGCTCCGCAGACCGGCAGGCTGCCATGGAGGGGACAGATGGACACGGAAAGTCAGAAGGGGGGTGTCTTGAGGATTCCTGGATCCAA